CAGTCCTGTTCAGACCAACTGGCCATCATACAGTCCTGTTTAGACCAACTTGCCATAAGGCAGTACTGTTCATACCAACTGGCCATAAGACTGTACTGTTCAGACCAACTGGCCATCAGACAGTCCTGTTCAGACCAACTGGTCATCATACAGTTCTGTTCATACCAACTGGCCATCAGGCAGTACTGTTCAGACCAACTGGCCATAAGACTGTACTGTTCAGACCAACTGGCCATCATACAGTCCTGTTCAGACCAACTGGCCGTCAGACAGTACTGTTCAGTTCAAGTGGCCATCAGACACTTCAGACCAACCAATGGAAACCATGATAGTACCTTACTGAACAAGTGGCAATAGACTGACTGTTCTGACCAAGAGGTCACCTACATTCCCACCGCCAAGTTTAGGAAAGAAATTTAATGTGATTCAATGTAAAGGAAAAGACATAAGTTTGCAACAGTAAATGCAATTTAACAAGAAAACAACACAACAATGCAAAACGGTATACCATTTTAAAATATTCTGTACAAAAGTCAACCTGCTTGTTTTTACCGACAAACAAAAACGGGAAAAGAAGATAAACAAGAGACAAGCCAGTGTTTCAAACATTGAATAACCATAACTCATATAAGTTCAAACGAGACCTGGCTATTTTTTAAACTTTGTTTATGAATCAGCAAACTCCCAAAACTGACAATCGAAAAAAGAAGAAAAGAATAAATAAAAATAAATTCCCACCAACCAGAAATCAGTAACATCATAAAATCATTTACTGTTGCTATCAAAATAAATACATCATTGAAAGAACTATAATTACAGCCTGATGAAAATTTATCTACAAAGTTCAAAACACAACAAATTAGGACGAATCACGAGAAGAAAAAAAGAAGTTTTAACTGAAACTTACGTTTTGTAACCTACTGACAAAGTTTTGGGTCAAAACTTGGTGACCCTCCCCTAAAGGTCTGGCTTTACTGAGTCTACCTGCGATATTACTTCATGAATGCGATTCAGAAATTGTTGAAATATCCATCAAAGTGAACACACACTGAGGAACACAGCAGATCAAGTTAGTCACGGAATTATCAACAGAAACCCACTTGCCAACCTAACATGCACTGAATCACACAAGTGGAAAATGGGAATACATTCTGCTGGATTAATAACTCATGACTGGTATTGTATACGAAGACATCTCTCAACAGGTGTAACAGTGTCTGCCAATCAAACAGACTCACAGGGACTAATCTAGGCATTCTCAGAATCCATATTTGGCCTGGCATCAACCACAAATATAAGAAAACACTCTGCAATGGGAATTTTCTAATCAGGTTATCATAATATAAGAACGTTTTAGTTTTGCAGAGGCAACTAATACTTCGGTGATAACTTGACCAACACTACTGAATTAAATGCAATTCTAAAACAGATCTGTGAAAAAAGCCCCACATTTGAGACACAACATTCCCACCCCCCCAATTTGCCTGCCTTTGAACTGTGTTGAAATCCTAGATAAATCAAGGTCTCGCTTTGGGTGGGTCATGACCAACTTCGATGACAGCTTTTCTTTGTTACTTACTGGTCAACAGATCTGGGTCACAGGCCACCACCAAAACATCCCTTCCCTCAAGGTATTTTGATTTGCCAATATCTCAGTGGGATAAACATTTGAACGGAATAGACCTTGCATTGCCCAAGGGAAGTCATCCATACAATCTGGGCCATCTTCCCTGGTATAAGACATTCCAGAATGTTCTTTTGGTCAGTTTTCAATTTTGAATCTAGTATTTGACGCCAGTTTGAAACTAGTGCGTATGGCTCGAAAAAGCTGCTTGCTTAGTGACGAATATCGACTTCATGTTAGTAATTTCATTGGTCAGTCAAAGTTTGTGAAAGGTCGTTCTGACGTGACCCTTAATAGGATGTCCTCAGATCTTGTTCAGCATCAGAGAGAACAAAGATCTGATGTTTATGAGGTTGCTGAGTTTGGAGGCTCTATCTGGCCTGATGCCTCTGTCTGAGAAGACTCATTCAAACTAACTAAGATTGAGTTAGTCTTGTATTAATTCAGTTTTGTCCTTATTTTTGACAACAAAAATGAGGTATATCAACTTGTACTTTGACATTTTGGATGAGCATTTATTATTTCATATATTTTTATCAATGAAAGTTAAAAAATTGATCGTGATTGTGGACAAAAGTATTATGATTCCTTCGTGCTATGATGAACTGGGGCAACCAACACCAAAGAGACAGGCTTGACCTCACTGTCTGACGTTGGATACATTGTAGCTTTTAATACATGTAGTTATTTTCATCTATGAAAGTAAAAAAAGATCCTGATTGTGGAAAAAAGTATCATGATTCATTGATTCTATAAAGCATCAATACCATGATGCATCGATACTATAAGGTATTGACATTATGATGTATCGATACAAAGATGCATCAATACTAGGATGCATCAATACTAGGATGCATTGATACTATAAGGCATTGACGCTATGATGCATCGACACTAGGATGCATCAATACTATGATGCATCGATACTAAGATGCATCAATACCATGATGCATCGATACTAAGATGTATCAATACCATGATGCATCAATACCATGATGCATCGATACTAAGATGTATCAATACCATGATGCATCAATACCATAAGACATCGACACTATGATGCATCAATACTAAAAGGCATCGATATTATGATGCATCTACTCTACAATGACACAAGACACTGCAGAGATAAGACTTGATGCCATTGTTTGCAACCTAAATCTTGTCTAAATCTACATGCTGAAACCTGCTTCTTCTAAAACTACACATTGTTTTGTTTAGTGTGACCAGTTATTGCGAGTTTGAATCCTATAATAAAATATGACTGTGACTAATACCACCTTGACTATACAGCTCTGCTTGGTTCCACAAAGGTGGGCCACATGTTAATGCAGACTGTACGTTGAAATCATATACACATGTATATCAGGGATTTATCTAGACCTGCTCAGAGGTCGATGTTCGGCCCCAAGTCAGCAGCAAATGTCGTTAAATAAATAATCCGAAACCGGAATTCACCATTTCCCAATTCATGTCAATATATAACTAATAACATACTTTATGGCTTTGTAGGATAATCTGTACTTCACTGATAACAGGATCAATAAAGAGGAAGAGGTTTTAATGCTAAGTTTTATCTTGCTGAATTGAATGCAATCTCAAAATACAATGTTAAAATACCTCTAAATTTAAGAAACTATGAACTTAAAATAATCCAAATTTGGAACACAAATTTTTAAATTTTCTAATTTGCCTGGCACTTAGTTCAGAAACCCAGATACATCCCTTTGTTTATATAAATCAACAGTAAAGTACCACCTATATTACCACATACCTATACCATATCAACTGAATAAATAGACATGTAATATGTATAAATATGTACACTCGGACATTACTTTAAACTGAAAAAAAAAAAAATAATACAGATGTCAAATCAAAAGAAATACACGATCATTTAAACAAATATATGTAGCTGTTTATCAAACAAATAAGTTAATCCTTCCCCCATAACTGATGACTACATGAGTCAATGATTTGTACAATTGGATAAAAGCTAACTCACTTGAAATATTCTTCAAAAGGTAATAAATTAATCAAATTAACAAAATGTACAAATCTGCTGTGCAGTGATGACTCTGAACATAGCCTGGGGCTGGAAACATTCACCATGTACCATCGTGATATTGCATTGTGGGGTCGGACAAGATATGGTTTGTATATAAGTATGGCTGGTCTCTAACTTGTGGATGATTGTACCAATCCTGGCTGAGAAATACAACCCAAAACAAATGATGCCATACTTATGATGACATGCTACATCATGTTGCTATGACGACACACCCAAGATGACATGGTACATCATGTTGCTATGACGACACACCCATGATGACATGGTACATCATGTTGCTATGACTACACCCATGACACCCACAATACATCATGTTACCATGCAAACACACCCATGATGAAATGGTACATTATGTTGCTATGACGACGTACCAAGATGAAATGGTACATCATATTGCTACGACACACCCAGATGAAATGCTACATCATGTTGCTATGACGACACACCCATAATGACATCGTAAATCATGTTGCTATGACGACACACCCATGATGACATGGTACAATATGTTGCTATGACTTCCCACCCATGATGACATGGTACAACATGTTGCTATGACGACACACCTATGATGACATGGTACATCATGTTGCTATGACGACACACCCAAGATGACATGGTACATCATGTTGCTATGACATCCCACCCATGATGACATGGTACATCATGTTGCTATGAGGACACACCCATGATGACATGGTACATCAAGTTGCTATGACATCCCACCTATGTTTCTTATCAACAATAAAGGAAATATTCCAGAGGACACTGAGTTTCAAACACCATTCTCTTAGCCTTTTGATGAGACTTATCAGCCACAGGAAATAGAAATGCCATTTGTAGGTTGAACAAGCCACTGTTTTCACACTCCCTGTGTAGGAAGGGTTCACAAAATCAATCCTCTATTACTGAGTGAGTGAGTTGGGTTTAACGCCGCTTTTAACATTATTCCAGTTATATCACGGCATGTCAGCTTAATGTGGGAGGAAAGCCCGAAGTGATGCAGGTTTTAGATGTTTACCACTTCGGTGAAACCCACGAGCACGGTATGGTGCTGACAAACCTAGAAACATAATTGGGGCGAACCGGGATTCAAACCCACAATCATAGGTTTCTGGAGTGTCCAAGGGATGCAACTCTGCATAGCGAATTGCAGCGCCTTAGATGACTGGATCACCTGTGCCCCCCCTTCTATTACTGAACTGATAATCATGATTTCTGATTGCTTAGACTCTATTTCACTGTGTTTGAGACAAGTTTCCTTTCATTTCCCTTGATGCTGGTATGCATTCTTACATTTACATGTATCAATCATGGATTTATTTTGCCATTGGTCGTACAGTGAAATGTTGCTTCATTAAATATTGTATCAGAACATCGGGGTGTGGTGTGGAATGAACACATTTCTGTAAACACAGATGTAGGTTTGTTTTCGGAAAATCATCTTTGGCAACTGCCATGAAAAATATGGATGCTGATTCTGTTGAAGGCTTTGCCATGGAACCATTTAGTTCCAATTCTGGTAAAGATCTTGTCATGAAAACATTGTGGGTTGATTCTTTTGAAGGTCGTTCCAGTGGAGCCCTTGACTTCGGGGCCACTAGCAGAGGGTACAATGTTGGCTGAAGGATGAATGATGAGATCAGTGATGAAGAAACCCTTTAGAAGATGACATGAGACGTCCACCTATAGAGCCTATAACATCCGTATGTTAATAATCCTAGCACACTGGCTCGCACGCTCCACCGTATAACTCGTCCCACCACTGACGCTTCTGGTACACTGAAAGCGACAAGAGAATACAAATGTAATAGTGGCAAAACATTTACAGTTCACTGAGGCCATAATAAATCAATTGATGGATTATCATCCACTTTTTTTTCAAAAGTTGGGAGGGAGGCTTTTTATTTTATATTTTTATATTTTTATATCAAAAATACGATAAGTTGACGACTGGACACCTTGGTTTGAACTGGCCTAATAGAACATGAATTTCTCCAACAATCTTGTTCATCTGAACAGTTCCTTGGGAATCAAAGTGGCCATTTGCCTAAAATCTAAAAACATTATCAAAAGAGTTGGCTTGTAGTTCATGAAAAATAATGCCTTTAGATATTTTGCTTTTCTGCAACCTCATATTTTGGCTATTCACATTTTTTAATGCTGATCTATGAATGTGAAAGATCTTGATTATTCGGAAATTGAAAGACTCACATGAGTATCTCCTGGATGTTGTGCTCTTTGCTCCAGTTGGCCACGATGCCAGGCACGTGACCGATCCCCACAACACCAACCACCACTGACGGAATATACCCTGAAGCCAGACACACATGAATAACCACTTACTCAAATTGAAAGTAAGTTTATGAGGTGAAATGGATCAGTTGTGACCCAATGACGTGACAGAGACTGATCTGGTTCAAAAGTAAATCAAACATGCTGGCAATTATTTTTATCCAAATCATTACCAGAAGTCAATCAAAGGAAACTTCTTGAGTATTGTTTGTTGAGTAACTCCACACTCAGCAATATTTCAGAAATATTATGGCAGTCTTCAAATAATCAAATCAGGACCAGACAATCCAGTGATTGACATCATGAGCATCGATCTACACAATTGGAAAATGATGACACGCATCCATTAAGTCCGCAAGCCTGATACCATCAAGCATGGGTTGCTGAAGACTAATTCTAATCCAACTCTTCTCTGGGGGTATCAACTTGTGACTTTAACCCTGTAACTACGTCTAAAAGTTGTCCTGAGTAAGAGATTTTCTTTCAGTGATTTCTACCATGTTTACATTTGGTGAAACTGAAATTTGAACCTTGGTCTTTGCCTAGAAGGGTCAACCCTGGAATCAGTAGGTTCCTATTGGTCCCCTTACCTTCGGGTACTTGGGGGCACTGAATGGGCCTGGCAGCCATCTTGAGTGAGTGTGCTAGGTACAGATCCCGCTCTTCCACAAACACCCTACTAAGGGCAGGGAACTCTCCCGTCATCTCCCTCAACATCTGTTCAAGCAGGTCACGCTGTTTACACTTCTCAACATCTTCCTTGCTGAAAACATCATCAACTTGCAATTAACTGACATACCGGTACTGGTTCTGAAGGTAGGATGTGTACATGTTATGGGTGCGCCTGCTGAGTTTAGTCATGTTAATGCTGCTTTGAACATTATTTCAGTTATATCCTGGAAACTAGGGCTTAACGTGTGAAGAAAGCCCAAAGCCGGTAATAAAATGTTTGCCACTTTGGTGACACCGACAGGCACAGGTATGATGCTGACAAACCAAGAATCTTAAACAGGGATACAAGTCTGCAATCATACGATTATGGCACAGCTAAGGGACACAACTCTGCACAAAGTACTGGTATACATAGTATAAATATAGTGATAGTGAAAGTATAACTGTTTTTTTGTGAAATTTTTATGCCAACAACGTAGTCTACTACACGTACCTGACAACAACGTAGTCTACTACAGGTACCTGACAACAATCTATATCTACTACAGGTACTTGACAACAATGTTTATCTACTACAAACACCTGACAACAACGTTTATCTACTACAGGTACCTGACAACAACATATTCTACTACAGGCACCTGACAATAACGTAGTCTACTACAGATACCTGACAACAACATAGTCTACTACAAGCACCTGACAATAACCAATAACGTAGTCTACTACAGATACCTGACAACAACATAGTCTACTACAGGTACCAGGCAACAACATCTGTCTACTACAGGTACCTGACAACAACGTCTGTCTACTACAGGTACCTGACAACAATGTAGTCTACTACAGGTACCTGACAACAACATAGTCTACTACAGGTACCTGACAACAACATCTGTCTACTACAGGTACCAGGCAACATCATCTGTCTACGACAGGTACCTGACAAACAACGTCTGTCTACTACAGGTACCTGACAACAACGTCTGTCTACTACAGGTACCTGACAACAACGTCTGTCTACTACAGGTACCTGACAACAACGTTTATCTACTACAGGTACCTGACAACAACATCTGTCTACTACAGGTACCTGACAACAACATAGTCTACTACAGGTACCTGACAACATAGTCTACTACAGGTACCTGACAACAACATAGTCTACTACAGGTACCTGACAACAACATAGTCTACTACAGGTACCTGACAACAACATAGTCTACTACAGGTACCTGACAACAACGTCTGTCTACTACAGGTACCTGACAACAACGTTTATCTACTACAGGTACCTGACAACAACATAGTCTACTACAGGTACCTGACAACAACATAGTCTACTACAGGTACCTGACAACAACACAGTCTACTACAGGTACCTGACAACAACGTCTGTCTACTACAGGTACCTGACAACAACGTTTATCTACTACAGGTACCTGACAACAACGTCTGTCTACTACAGGTACCTGACAACAACGTCTGTCTACTACAGGTACCTGACAACAACGTTTATCTACTACAGGTACCTGACAACAACATCTGTCTACTACAGGTACCTGACAACAACGTTTATCTACTACAGGTACCTGACAACAACGTCTGTCTACTACAGGTACCTGACAACAACGTTTATCTACTTCAGGTACCTGACAACAACATCTGTCTACTACAGGTACCTGACAAGAACATAGTCTACTACAGGTACCTGACAACAACATAGTCTACTACAGGTACCTGACAAGAACATAGTCTACTACAGGTACCTGACAACAACATAGTCTACTACAGGTACCTGACAACAACATCTGTCTTCTACAGGTACCTGACAACAACGTCTGTCTACTACAGGTACCTGACAACAACATCTGTCTTCTACAGGTACCTGACAACAACGTCTGTCTACTACAGGTACCTGACAACAACGTATGTCTACTACAGGTACCTGACAACAACGTCTGTCTACTACAGGTACCTGACAACAACGTCTGTCTACTACAGGTACCTGACAAACAACGTCTGTCTACTACAGGTACCTGACAACAACGTCTGTCTACTACAGGTACCTGACAACAACGTCTGTCTTCTACAGGTACCTGACAACAACATAGTCTACTACAGGTACCTGACAACAATGTCTGTCTACTACAGGTACCTGACAACAACGTCTGTCTTCTACAGGTACCTGACAACAACATAGTCTACTACAGGTACCTGACAACAACGTCTGTCTACTACAGGTACCTGACAACAACGTCTGTCTACTACAGGTACCTGACAACAACGTCTGTCTACTACAGGTACCTGACAACAACGTCTGTCTACTACAGGTACCTGACAACAACGTCTGTCTACTACAGGTACCTGACAACAACGTCTGTCTTCTACAGGTACCTGACAACAACATAGTCTACTACAGGTACCTGACAACAACGTCTGTCTACTACAGGTACCTGACAACAACGTCTGTCTACTACAGGTACCTGACAACAACGTCTGTCTACTACAGGTACCTGACAACAACATCTGTCTACTACAGGTACCTGACAACAACATAGTCTACTACAGGTACCTGACAACAACATCTGTCTTCTACAGGTACCTGACAACAACGTCTGTCTACTACAGGTACCTTACAACAACGTCTGTCTACTACAGGTACCTGACAACATAGTCTACTACAGGCACCTGACAACATAGTCTACTACAGGTACCTGACAACAACGTCTGTCTACTACAGGTACCTGACAACAACATCTGTCTACTACAGGTACCTGACAACATAGTCTACTACAGGTACCTGACAACAACATCTGTCTACTACAGGTACCTGACAACAACATAGTCTACTACAGGTACCTGACAACAACATAGTCTACTACAGGTACCTGACAACAACGTCTGTCTACTACAGGTACCTGACAACATAGTCTACTACAGGTACCTGACAACATAGTCTACTACAGGTACCTGACAACAACATCTGTCTACTACAGGTACCTGACAACAACATAGTCTACTACAGGTACCTGACAACAACATAGTCTACTACAGGTACCTGACAACATAGTCTACTACAGGTACCTGACAACAACATCTGTCTACTACAGGTACCTGACAACATAGTCTACTACAGGTACCTGACAACAACATCTGTCTACTACAGGTACCTGACAACAACATAGTCTACTACAGGTACCTGACAACAACATAGTCTACTACAGGTACCTGACAACAACGTCTGTCTACTACAGGTACCTGACAACATAGTCTACTACAGGTACCTGACAACATAGTCTACTACAGGTACCTGACAACAACATCTGTCTACTACAGGTACCTGACAACAACATAGTCTACTACAGGTACCTGACAACAACATAGTCTACTACAGGTACCTGACAACAACGTCTGTCTACAACAGGTACCTGATAGGATCCTTGGATGTGATGAGGTACCAGGCAAGCCTGATCTTCTGCCACAGGGAGAGTGCTGCTAGGGCCCTCTTCAGCGTGATCTGTATCGGCCGATCTCCCAGCTGCAGGCGACAGCCGGGCACCCGCCGTGACTGCACACACAAGAAGTTCAAATATATAGATCAAGTGGCATATACTTCCAGGAAAAGTGACTGAGAAACTTAGGCCTGAGCACCTTTGAAACAATGTAACCATGAGATTTCCAAAGTAAAAATTTCCATGCATCAAATAATACATCATCAATGTTTGTTTTTTTGTGGGGGGTTCCGGTTTGTACTAGTCCTTAGACTTATGCCAGTTTTAACGTGCTTGCCTACATAGATATGCCACATTCAACATAGATACCCTCACTCGGACACAATAAACCATCTTTTAATGTCTTTCAGTATGACATGACCAGGTGATCGGCCCACTGACCTCCCGCTATCCAGACAGATGCTCTATCAACTAAACCATAGAGAAACACAGCAACATAATATCAAGTACAATACACAACTACCACACACCTCCTGGAATGCTCTGCGGAACTCTCCCCCCGGCGCCATACCAAGTTCCTTGGTGAGGTGAGCTGACATGCTGAGCAGCAACAAGTGCATCACACCCTGGATCATGCCGCTCTGTAATAGGTAAATAGTTGCCATGGTTACTGATATACAGGATCATACCACTCGGTAATGGAAAAACAGTTGCCATGGTTACTGATATACAGGATCATACCACTCTGTAATGGAAAAACAGTTACAATGGACACCGATATATACTAGATCATACCACTCTGTAATGAAAAAGTGGCAACATTGCTTGAATGAAGGAAAATGAACTTAACTCACAGTGCAATACATTATGATAGAGCACAAGCTATTTATTTCTTACTGAATCCAGTATATATTATATATCCATAATCAATAAAAGCAATAACAGTCCATAATCAACACTAAAATCCACTGAGGATGATGCCTGAGAGATGCCTCAGGATGCCTGAGGACCAGGGTGTGGCATCGGTACCTGTTTGATTGCCATCCTGATCTTCTCCATGTTGATGTTCTTGGCCTCCTCCAGCAGCGTGGCCTCGTCCAGCTCCAGGATGTTGATCCGACTCTTGCACAGCTCCACCATCACGAAGTCTGGCTGCGTCGACCGGATCACCTGCAATATGAGAGAGTGAGTGAGGGACTTTGCTTTGAACATTATTGCTTCGTAGGGGCTTGGGGGCGGTCAGGTAGCCTAGTGGTTAAAGCGTTCGCTTGTCACGCCGAAGACCCAGGTTCGATTCCTGACATGGATACAATTTGTGAAGCCCATTTCTGGTGTCCCCCCCCCCCCCCCCCGTGATATTGCTGGAATATTGCTGAAAGCAGCGTAAAACCATACTCACTCACTCACAGGGGCTTGGATGTCCTAGGCGCTGCAATTGCTGTGAAGAGTTGCATCCCTTGGGTTCTAATTATGGTTCTCTCCAATTATGTTTCTTGGTTTGTCAGCACCATGTTTATACTTGTGGGTTTCACCGAAGTGGTAAATGTCTGACACCTGCGTTACTTCAGACTTTCCTCTCACATTAGGCTGACATGCCGTGATATAACTGGAATACTGTTTAAAACGATGTTAAACCCAGCTCACTCACTCACTCGCCATAGCTTCGTTTTCAGTCCCTTCTCACAGAATTGCTCGTTAAGAATTTTGTAATGATTTTACGAAGATTTTAGTTTCAAAATTGTAAAAAGAAAGTAACAAACAGAATTCTTAAATGTTCTCGAAGCTCTCGAATCCTGGTTCACCCTGATTATGTTTCTAGGTCAGTGCCATACCTGTTCTTGTGGGTCTCACCAAAATGGTAAATGTCTGAGACCTGCATCAATTCGGTCTTTACCCCGACATCAAGCTGTCTCACTATGACAATGAAAATGGAGATATAATATACTGCACAAGATAATTAAGTATGCCTCCCAACACCATCTTCCTGAGGCAAGGGAGTTAACAGACCATAAAAGTCCAGTTTCCACCCTTGCCAAACTAGGATGGAATTATACTTTGGCTGGATTAACGAGTCTATGCATAGTCCAATCAAAATCGTGTAATGAAATCAACATCCAGTTCGTAAACCTCCCTGCTGATTTCGGGCGATTGGAGGATTTGCAAAACATGTGTACCATCAACTTAGTGTCAACAGATATTTTCCAAATCCTTTCATGTTTTTAATCAAGATGCTCACATGATTCGATGCACTAAGCGAAGTAAGACCTGTTTTATTACAAAATAGATCTTGATTATCGATCAGATCGTCTTGACTGGGTGCTGCCATTTTGTTTGAAGCAAATGCAAATGATTCAGATGGATTCGGATTGGTCAACAGGAGGACATAGAAGGGACATAACTCATAACAGCAACTGGTAGCGCTACGATAGAACCCAGAAATTCTGGCCTAGTTCGGCAAGGGTGGAAACTTAGTAAAATCTAAATATTTTTTACATTTGTATACTTATCCTGCATTACTCCGTATTGCATTTACTGCTATGTTTGACAGAGAGACGAACTGTGTGAGATCCAGCTGCTGAAGAAAGTTGTCCCAACCAGCCCAGGAGGCAGCGCCCTCTCACAGTCGGCACGTGACCCGGAAGTCATGACGTCACACAAAAAGACATAACTGCTTTAAACATAACATCTGAAACTTCGTGGGGAGGTAGCGTAGCGAAAGGGAGGGCACTTAGACTTCGTAATGCAGGATAAGTATACAAATGTAAAAAATATTTAGATTTTACTAAATTTTTTAACTTATCCTGCATTACTCCGTATTGCATCTTTATCAGACGGCTTGGCCGGTGGGCATACTTGCAGATGTGAACCATATTAAACCCTCGTCAAGGTCCGATGAATCCGCACCGCATACAAGTGATGACCGGAACATCTACGACCATTCCTGGCTTCAGGAAACAAGAGTCGATGCAAAAACGAAACGCCCGAATAGGTAACCGAAATACAATGAGGCGTGTAGCCAAAATATATAACTTACCGAAGAGCGAAAGCGAAACGCAGTAGAACCTAGAGCTAATCTGAGGTGATAAACACCAGAGAGTTCGACGGGCCCCGCTCGGGGAATCGAAGAATCAGCGGCGTCGGCGGCAAAATCTACGACCAATCCCAAGAGCGAATGCGAAACGCAGGAGAGCCCTCTAGGCTGGAGGCAAGGAACACCGGTGAGGTCGACGGGCACCGCCCAGGTACCAGAGAAGCAGCGGCGTTGGCGTCGGCGCCGGTGTCCACATCTACTACCATTCCTGTCGTCAGGAAACGAGAGTTGATGCAAAAAGTAAAACCCGGATAGGTGACAGCAATAGAATGAGTCGGGTAACCCAAAACTAAAACTGACCTAAGAGCGAATGCGGAACGCAAGAGAGCCGTCTCGTCTGGGGTGATAAACACCAGAGAGGTCGACGGGCCCCGCTCAGGGTATCGGAGAATCAGTGGCGTCGGAGATAGATGACCTGTTGGGCTACAACCAGGGACCAAAACTGTGAACGCCGGCGACAACTTTCAAGGCTACATCACGGAAGTAGTGGTTGGTGAAGGCGGTGTCCGATCGCCACGAACAGGCTTCCCTGAACGACGGGATGGAACAGTATACCGTGAAGAACCAGTGTAAATACGATCGCCCTGATCTCATTTTATTTCAGGTAATAGCCTTTGGGGGGAGGGTCCAATCCGGCGGCTCATATGCTTTAAGGATGACCGCCCGGAGCCACAGGGAAAAGTATTCCGGCTGACCAACGACAGCGACGAAGGGGAGACCGGCAGAAAAAGGTGTTTCCTAGACTTGCGGCAGTCTTTAGATCGTAGAATAACCTTCAGTGCCCTTACTGGGCATAATGACGCTCATCCTCATCCTCGGCACCCGCACTGGACGAGGGGGGAGGGGACAAGGAATGATCAATCAGGCTGTCCTGGGAGTTGAGTCTTTACGCTGACGTCCCAGTACGGTCCATGATGAACGGCGCCCTGGGTACCGCATTCGAACCGGGCATGGGAGACGTCGAGGGCGTGCTGTACATGGACTCGAGCGGCAGTAGTCAAAACCAGTAGAAACACCCGTCTTCTACTTAAGGTCGTAGAAGGAAGACGAGGGGAGTGGTTCGAAGGGCGTTGAAGACCACATTCAGATCCAACGCAGGCGGTCCAAACTTGGTCTTCAGGTCTTCAAGACTGAACGAGCGCAGCCAGGCCCGTAGGTCGGGAATTTTCGTCTTTCTCCGATCGTCCGGGATGGCCAGAACGGAGTAGATGGCGACCAGGTATGTGGGGGTGGTAAGCCCTTCAACCGATGGGTGCTACACAAGTACAGAAGGAACTGATCCAGGATCTGCGGTGACGCTGTCATCGGATCCTGGTGTTTGTCAGAACAAAATGCCTGGAACAAGCATCATTTATCAGCATACAGTCCCCCTGTAGATGGACGGTGGGCTGAAGCAATAGCCTTGGTCGCTCTAGCCGAATAGCCCTTGGCTTTCTGCATGTGTGTCAGGCGTGCAGACGATAACATGCGGGTATGAGGGTGTGGCTTCTCATTCTAACAGACCGTGTGGATGGAGCAGAAGGTTGGACCACACCGGAAGTTCCAGGGGTTGTCTCTGGCTATGTTTCGGAGGTCGATAACCCAACTTCTGGCTGACCAATAAGGCGAGACCAAAGTCAATGGCAGGGGTCGAGTGGCCTGGATCTCTGAAGAACCGTGGGAGGGAGAACCGGAGTCGGAAAAGCGTACGCGCGTAATCCTTCTCAGGAACGATGGAAGGCTTCGACTGCCACAGCGGTCGTATCCGGCACAGGTGGAATGGAAGACGACAGCTGGCCACATTCAGATATGAGGCAAACAGATCTAGGGTTGGGGTGTCGACCGTTTCACATAGTCTGGCCCGAGGCGCCGGAGAGCGTGAGGCGTCGGAGAGCTTGAGGCGCCTGGAACGCCGAAGATGGTGATTCTCGGGTGCGCCGGTCGAGTTTGTGGCGCCGGGAGAGGGGCGAGAACTCTGGGTCCGCAAACACCACACTACGGTGACGTCGTCAGTGGACACGATCAACAGGGCGTGACCGAGAATGCACTGTCAGCAAGTGCCGTCCTGGATAAGCATTTATCTCGAGGCTGTTGCTGTGCCAATGGTGTTGATCTCTGGATCACAGGTGGTCACAATGTGGGCTGGCGTGGGCCACTAGCCACTGACAAGGTGGCAGGGGAGGTAGTCAGCAACAGGGGTCTGCGATTGCGTACCGTCGGTACGATTCGGAAAAAGGTGTGATCGCCTGCGAGCCAACCTCAAGTAGACGAAGTAAACCAGCTTCACAATCGACCGCCGGGGCATCGACGTAACCGGGTAGTAGGAAGTCGAGGCAATATGGCCATTGCACGAAGTAATGAGATCGTTTTCATCCCTGAAGCGGCGTATAAGTACTCCTGTTCTTATATCGAGGTGACGATGGAGGACGACAACACGATACGAGGCAGGTATGCAACAGGGGTCAGTGGGACGGCCGAGGGACTTTAAGTATCAAATCGACACTGTGTCCGGTAGTCAAGGCGGAAGATAGGAAGGTGTTGTAGTCGAAAAGATCAAACCGGACGAAGGAAGGCGATCTCTTCCATCCCTTGAACGCCTATAGGCGGTATCGTTCTTATAGCGAAGGGTTGATGAAACAAGGTTCCTCGTGACAGCCGTGTTGGTAGAGGAGGTCTATTGTTTCCAACATCCGTGCATGGATGGACTGCGACAGGCGCCTGGTTGAGTGGTATCACCAAGCGTACAGGTAGACATGGAAACCAATCTGTAGAAATACATGGCACCCCTTGCCATGGTAAGTTGACCTAAATCCGGTCGGAGTTGTTGACAGTCCGAGTACTTGACACGTGACATGTAAATCACTCTGCGCAGTAGCCGAGAAAACCGCCTTGGAGTCGGAACTGAGGTGCAAACTCCACACACAGACAATCCTCAATGAACTGTGTGAGAGACGATAAAGTGGTGTACCCGAGTTTTGCGATAAAACACGGAACCCCATGGGCGTCGTGCAAAACCCGGGGAGCGCCGAGGAAGAGTCTCTCTCAGGAACGCTGGCGCTAGGGTAGGGTAGAACAGCGTTGATGTCTGCGATGTCGACGAAGTAAACTCTTTGTAAGTGGATGTCGTCGTCGAATCTGATACAGACGCTGTTCACATGACGCTCTGTTTCGATGGAAACCCGCAGGTCATCTCTCCGGAATCATAGCGCTTTAAACGACGGGATTATGGATAACGTCTCAGTGGGCAAGTTGAATCAGACCAACTGTCTATTGGTTGAAATGATTCCACCCAGGAAGTAGAACGATATTTACGATCCCGAAGACCGACGGGAGAGTAGCGAAAGGAGCGGCGACAGTTGTTTCACCATGCTTCTCCGTGTGACGAGTTATGAGACGGCAGCAAGAGAAGAGGGCAGTGGCGCCGGGGAGGCGATTGCCGATGATGCCCCTTAAGCCGCAGTAGAAGATCGGATGGTCGGCTCGTTGATCTGAGCTTGATAAAGCTTGTTGATCTGAAGCTTGTTGAGCGCCGAAGACATCAGAGGATGCGGAGGCGCCGGAGCGCGGAGACATCAGCGGCGCCGGTGGCGCCGAGTCATCGGAGGCGCCGAGTCAACAGCTTGTCATGAACAAGTCATGAAGCTTGTTGAGCGCCGAGTCATCAGAGGCGCCGGTAGCGCCGAGTCATCAGAGGCGCCGTGTCATCAGAGGCGCCGGGAGCGCCGAGACATCGGAGGCGCCGCGTCATCAGAGGCGCCGGAGGCGCCGGGAGCGCCGTGTCATCAGAGGCGCCGTGAGCGCCGTGGGCGCCGTGAGCGCCGTGAGCGCCGTGAGCGCCGTGTCATCAGAGGCGCCGGAGGCGCCGCGTCATCAGAGCGCCGGGAGCGCCGTGTCATCAGAGGTGCCGGGAGCGCCGGGAGCGCCGGGAGCGCCGTGTCATCAGAGGCGCCGGGAGCGCCGAAGGCGCCGTGGGCGCCGTGAGCGCCGTGAGCGCCGTGAGCGCCGTGAGCGCCGTGAGCGCCGTGTCATCAGAGGCGCCGGAGGCGCCGCGTCATCAGAGGCGCCGAGTCATCGGGGGCGCCGGAGACATCAGCGTTGACGGTGTTGGAGACCGTGAACGGTCGTATGTCGTGCCAGGGGAGGCAGACTCTACGTTGGGAGCGCTGGAGCCGCCGGTGGAGTAGGAGACCGTGAACGGTCGTATGTCGTGCCAGGGGAGGCAGACTCTACGTTGGGAGCGCTGGAGCCGCCAGTGGAGTAGGAGACCGTGAACGGTCGTATGTCGTGCCATGGGAGGCAGACTCTACGTTGGGAGCGCTGGAGCCGCCAGTGGAGTAGGAGACCGTGAACGGTCGTATGTCGTGCCATGGGAGGCAGACTCTACGTTGGGAGCCGCCGTGAAGCTCCGCTGAGCGCTGCTGCCGTCAACGTAGGTGGGGGTCGACGAGCACGTTGAGCGAGGTGTGTCCTGGATACTCGCATGAGCTGAAGGATCACAGCTACGAATGACTGCAACATCGGCACTGCCTTGTGAAAGTACAGGGCGTCGTACAATCACGGCAGAAAGGGGCGGCCCCGACCAGATTTGTTCCCGCGGAAACAAGTGCAGCGAGGCAGAAAATCTGGAATTTAAGCAAAACATAACTATGTGGCAAAGCCACAAAGTGCGGGAAGCATAATGTGTGGCCAATCACAAAGTATGGGAAGCATAAAGTAACTCAAAAACAGTATATTTTATTAAAGTTTATGAGATAAACAAGTACGCTAAAAGGGAGCGAAAAGGCAAAGCCTTAAGCAAACACGTAACCATGTGGCAAAACCACAGAGTACGGGAGACATAATGTAACTCATAAACTTCGTATTATATTGAAGTTTATGAGAAGAAACAATTACGCTGAGAGGTAGCGAAAAGGCAAGGCTTCAAGCACACCAAAACAACATACATAAATGTAATGTATTACCCAAGCCAAAGAGAGAATTCAAAACGCAGAACACGACATTACGTGGCCACGTGGTGAATGGCCAAAATGGCGGGAAAGAAAACAAAATGGCGGGAACAACATTGCGCCCGTAAATTACTGTGACGTGAGCCACAGACGAGCGATAAACGTTACAATTTACGAATGGGAAGACCCCAAGGTCACGGCCCATATCAGGTAACAATGTAGCAGCATATAATGAATGTAGAAACACGCAAAATATAAAAAACAAATAATAAGCTTTAATTTCCACAAGGGATACAAAGTACGTCCGTCCGTGGAGGTGACAAAGCAGTTATGTCTTTTTGTGTGACGTCATGACTTCCGGGTCACGTGCCGACTGTGAGAGGGCGCTGCCTCCTGGGCTGGTTGGGACAACTTTCTTCAGCAGCTGGATCTCACACAGTTCGTCTCTCTGTCAAACATAGCAGTAAATGCAATACGGAGTAATGCAGGATAAGTTAAAAAATAGGACTTTTACAGTCAGTTAACTTAAAAGATACCCAAGACACACACAGAATCCCCTGACAGAAATACCTTTGAGACATCTTCTTGACTCTCCAGACTGAAGTGGGCTGTTCCCACCACATACACTTTGCTGCCATCCAGTGTCTCCAGCGTTGTCACAGTGTCAGGGAGGTCGGGGTTGGAGTCTCGCCGTCTCATGGGGAATGACAACTCATCATTGTCCTCGATGTCCGTCTCCTCCCCACTCTCATCCTCACTTACTTCATCCTCCTCTTCTGGACAGGACAAAATAAGGTTACCATGGTTACAGACTTGGTCTTGTATACACTTTCAATACATGTTTGTTGTTTACTGCAATATTCCAGCAAAATGACAGCATTCTATAAATATGGATCTGGGTTCCGTTGTACGAAGCAATCTTAGCGCTAAGATGATAACAGTGAGTGAGTTGGGGTTAACGCCGCTATTAACAGTATTCCTGTGATATCACGGCGTGTCAGCTTAATGTGGGAGGAAAGCCCGAAGTGATGCAGGTCTCAGACGTTTACCACTTCGGTGAAACCCACGAGCACGGATATGGTGCTGACAAACCCACAATCATAGGTTTATGGCGTGCCCAAGGGACGCAACTCTGCACAGCGCCTTAGACAACTTGGCCACCCGTGCCCCCTAAAATGATCATAACTCCCATACCTTCACATAGACTTACGACAGTCGTAGCGCTAAGATTGTTTTGCGCACCCTGGACAAGACATCCAGTGATTGGTATTACAAGCAACATCTTACACCATTAGAGCACATGACACTCAATCAACCAGGGTGCCTTTGTACATAACAACCTTAGCGCTAAGACAATCGTACTCTATGTTAAACATGTTAAAGTATGGGAGTTGCAATCACCTTAGCACTAAGATCCCTTTGCACACAGGTCACTGAGCCTGCACAGTGAACCAATCTATTAAGTCGCCTCACACAACAAGCATTGTTTAATGGGCATCTATTCCCACTCTGAATCCCCATGGAAGCAATAAACTATGCATAGCCATGATCCTGATAATATACTCACTACCAAAAGTGAGTGAGTTGGGTTTAATGCCGCTTTTAACATTATTCCAGTTATATCACGGCGTGTCAGCTTAATGTGGGAGGAAAGCCCGAAGTGATGCAGGTCTCAGACATTTACCACTTCGGTGAAACCCATGAGCACGGGTATGGTGCTGACAAACCTAGAAACCTAGTCGGGGCGAACTGGGATTTGAACCCACAATCATAGGTTTCAGGCATGTCCAAGGGATGCAACTCTGCACAGCGAATCGCGGCGCCTTAGACGACTGGGCCACCCGTGTCCCCTTCAAAATCATGAATATGGATCAGCACAGATCCGGTCACCACAGCTTATCATACATCACATACCTTCAGCCTGGAAAACTAATACATTTTGTCAGAAAATAATGATCAGTTATAAAAGATTACTCACCATCTGATAACATCTCCCCCAATTCTCCATCATCTGGCTGTGACAGAGTGTTACTGTCCCTCGCTTCTGTATGCTCTGCCCCTGCTCTCTCTCCACCTGGGGGGGTAGGGCCTGGAGGGGTCGGGCCTGTGGGGGTAGGGCCTGGGGGGGTAGGTGCTGCTGGGCCTCCCTGCTGTACAGTTATATGAGCACTGTTGTTAGAGTCACTGTCTGGGGTACTTGACCTCACATCGGATGGGTCATCTTTCAGGGTATTCCTCACAACATCTGTCTTTAAACTACCGTCCTGAGACTGGGACTTCTTATCCCCGGCTTCGGGTGACAATATGGGTGTGGCAGATTCCATACTTTACTTGTGTACTGTTAGTTGCTGAAAAAGTCAAGACAGTTTTGATATTGAGTTAAGTGAGTGTGTGAGTGAGATTTTACTCAGCTTTCAGCAATAAAAAATATCCCGGCAGAGAACACCAGAAAAGGCTTCACACAATGTACCCATGTAAGGAATCAAACCTGGGTCTTCGGCGTGACGAGCCAACACTTTAACAACTAGGCTACCCCACCAACATCTCGACATCTGATATTGACATTGTCAACCAGGGCCCCGTTCCTCAAAGCGATCTTAGCGCTACGATGACCATAAACCTATGTTAAAGTATGGGACTTACGATCACCTTGGCGCTAAGATCACTTTGAGGAACGGGGCCCTGATCAGTATGTTAAACAGATTCAGGTAACATTTACCATGACATACTACTCAAAAGAACTTAAAGAACACCTGATTCTTATACGACAAAAGTTGATCTGTCATGGCTGGTGGGTATTGCAACACAAAGCCTTTCAATTGTGTGTTCCTTAACTTGTTTTAAGTAGTATATAAAACCATGATGACTGTAGTTAGGATGATCTTTCATCATGAATCCTGCTGTACACTTTACCATTCATCTTATTCAAGGCCTTGGACCATGTCGACTATTCCACGCCACAGTTGAACGTGGGGAAACTATTTTGGACCATGTCGACTATTCCACGCAGCAGTTGAACGTGGGGAAACTATTTTGGACCATGTCGACTATTCCACGCAGCAGTTGAACGTGGGGAAACTATTTTTGTTTTATTTTTCTTATAACCGCCCAGGGACGTCCTGTGATGTAAATTATCTACTGTAAGGCAATCCATACATATTAACAATGAGTGAGTGAGTTGGGTTTAACGCCACTTTAAACAGTATTCCAGTTATATCACGGCGTGTCATCTTAATGTGGGAGGAAAGCCCAAAGTGATACAGGTCTCAGACGTTAACCACTTCGGTGAAACCCATGAGCACGGGTATGGTGCTGACAAACCTAGAAACATAATTTTGGTGAACCAGGATTCGAACCCACAATCATAGGTTTCTGGTGTGCCCAAGGGATGCAACTCTGCACAGTGAATTACGATGCCTTAAGGGGCATTCACACGGTACAACTAGTTGTATACAATTTGTTGCATGCAAAACATTGCATCGTGTGAACGGGCAAGTCGGTCCAACTTTTGACGCATGCAACTTGTTGGACGTGAGTTGTACGGAATAGGACATGCTCTATTTTCATGCGACAAGTTGTATGAACGCAGCCAATCAAAACGCGTATGAAAATCACGTGACATTTACACGTCAATTTGTAAACAAAAATGGCGACGCCGATTCACGTCGGTAACTCCTGTTTTTCGGTATCCTAAGTGTCACCACTCAATAAAGGACCTATGAAAAGTAGGTACGTAGAATACCACTGTACCAAATTATATATTTTGACATTTGCATCGGTCTAGTTCTCCTGGTTAAACTGTTCATGGTGTTATTTGAAACGACAGGCTATGTGACTGTACACTGTAGTGTAGACCAATTGCAAGATGAGATTAGGTCCATAATACGTTTCTAAAACTTAAAATACATCATACACACAAATACACGTCACAGTTTTAGATTCTGTGGGAAAGTATCTATAATATGATGACATTAATAACTATTTTAGCCCAAGCATATGTATCACTAACGACATCTGAAAATAGTGTACAACGAAAAAAATGCCATTTTAGCATTTTACCAATTCACTGTTCCAAATGTGATTAGGATTATTTATTCAAATAACGTATAGCTACATGCGAAGTTCAATTACAAAACCATTGGGTGTCTGCTCTTTGTCAAAACACCAATCATCATTCCGAAAAGACTCCCATAGTGACCCATATATTCGTTTTCGAAACATAAAAACTCTGGACCGAACCTCAACGTTGGATAGCGTTGCAAAATCACGGTTCTTTTCGCGTCAGGCGAGATACCTGTCACATCACATGTATTTCACACTCAGCTACGATACATACATTCCTGAATTCATCATACCATTAGGCCTATCAATCAATTGAGATTTTGTCTAAGTCACTAATACAAACGGTCCAAATGAAATCAACCGCAATATTCAAGTGTGAAACCAAACCCTGTGCTCTGAAACCTACCAGTGGGCCTTCTCATTTAAAATGTAAACAAAGCAAACCCATATATTAACAAAGTCAGTGTCAATGTTGTCAATAACAATTTCAATGTCTACACAATTTGTTAAAAAGAGCTTTAAACACAACATCATATTAACATTGAATATACTTGTAGTATTACCATGGTTACCTTCTTTTCATCCTGGAGACCGTAATTGTTTATGTACGTGTGTTCATTACCTATGAGATTTGCAAACTTTTACCAAAACATAAAGTTTATTGTCAGACGACTACCAGGTAACTGCATGTGGCTGAATGTCATGTGTGGAATAAATCATGTTAATTATGTTCAAAATTAAAGGGACAATACGTCTATGGTTCTGTGTGTTTGTAAATCATACATGAAATAATTTCACACTGATTCAGTTCTCAAAACAAAACAATAGAGCTCCTCACAGTGAAGCCAACAATGCAAACGCTGCACAGAGTAAACTGGCTTCAGTCTTGTTTCTTTAATAGAAGCAAATTGGAAAGAAAGCTCATGTGTCCTTCTCATGGCTGAATTACAAAATACTAATTGACAGCTTGATTAGATTAGAAATCAGCGTTTATGAAAGCCTAGATTACAAAATAAATTTGCCTTGGTCTTATGAAGCCAAGCATTCTCCTGCCCAGAGTTTCTTGCGTCTCTGCCGAGCATCTCTGTCACATCTTACACAGTCCCATTATTATTTTTTTCTCTGTTTCATTTTGGATGAGTCTACACATTTATCATGAAATGTATAAGTTTCATTGAGAAAATATCCAAAAACTTGAAACACAATTTCCATTTGTGCTTTTATCTTCCACGTCCGGTCATCGAAGCCCTAAGGAGAGCTAGCGATACGGTCACTTTGATGTGTAAAGCTATTAGTCATGCCCCTCGCAGCTGTTGTAGTACCGGTATATCAGGGATCCGGAAAGTTTAAAATCCCAATCAGAAATTTAGGCCACGCCCCCTTCAAATAGCATATGTATATACGACTTTTCACACACATTACAAGTTGTTATGTACAGTGTTCACTCGTTATTGCACGCTTCGGTTATAGCGCACGGTAAAGCATGGCTCCCAACGTTTACTAACATTTTTAATAAACTCAAGTTTTCCAATGACACAATGTTTTCCCTCATCTCAGAAAACATAATCAGCTGATCAACGTGATCACGTAACACTGGAAATACCAGTCAACAAATCTGAACTAATCCTATCATTATAATATCTGGTAATAAAAAAATTCTTCATTATTTACCTGGACTAGAGTCTGCAATATATTTGATTAATTTTATTCAATATTTCATTCAATAATTATTATAATGTTTACAATAATTTCGGCCAAATCGCATGCGAAGTGATCGGTAGATCGCACAACTCACTGTTATTTACAGCACTTTTATTGACCAAGTTTGTTATAACTGTTTATTTACCTGAATTCGCTGAAGGGATACGATAACGCTCATCAATTATTTGGACCCTGAAGGTAGCATTGTTTGTCTTTTAAAATGTCCAGACAGAAAAATTTAAATGTCCAGTAAGCAATATTTTAAACCGGACATTTGAGATTCCCAATCAGCCATGTCCGGCGTATATGACCGTTTCCGGACCCCTGCGGTATATCTATATAATTATGCAAAACAATATGTATAGCACACTTAAACACTTGCATTAAATCTGTCTGTTCTCATTTCAGAATAAGTGTGTTTGTTAACAAACAAGAGTAAAGTCTGGTGTGGTCACTGGAGTAGACACCGAATAAGCAGAGCTGAGTAAACTCGGGGGTTATCAACTACTGTTTACAAACAAAGCTTCAGTACTGTCAATGTCCTGTCCCTTTAAGGGGGTCCTGCTAAAATATTTGAATCAAGGGACCCTCAAATTGGGGGTGTTAAACATTGGGGTCATGACAATGATCCCTGGACTTCCATAGTTAATTTCAAACTTGCTTCACACATACTTCAACATTGTCAGACTTCGCTTGACTGATGCTATCACATGTTTAACAATTATAGATAAAAAATCTTTAAAATTAAACATGTAACACAATATCATGTACAATTTTTCAACACATAATCAGTGATCTTTGTTTAGCAATAGCGAGAAATAAGATCTGATTTTAATGAGACTGAGTGTGGTACATATTCATTAGGGCTGGGACAAGTCCAAATTTACTACCCGAATACCCGACACCCTATTACCCGGCCCTACCCGGATACCCGCTATAGGTCTCAATAGTTGGGTACAAAATGTCCGAATGGGAATAGTTTTACCGAAGCCCTGTCAAAAACTATTTAGATACACATATAAAACGATCTGATCATGCATACACTGCAGTTGATAGACGCTGTATCCTTACTCGAACATATAAAAGTCAGAACAAATGCTTGCACAGTGAGAATGAAATGTGAACCATTGAGTTTTATTGTTAATATCATTAAACAGAATGTTACGTGACTAACCACGGGTCCGGGTAGTCATGTGGGTACCCGGGTCTTACTCAGGACCCACCCGACCCGAGTACCTGAGTTACCCGTACCACCCTAATATTCATTCATGGATATGCAAGTCAAAACTTGGTCTGTTTTTAGTACAACTTGTTGAGTGAGTACATATACAGGCTGACAACCAAGAGATATTGTTGGGGAGTCTTGACTTTTGGAACTACCGTATTCGACGTAATAAGCGCCCAGGGCGCACTCAAAATTAGTAACAGGGGGCTCTTATAAGAATATTACTTTGGTGAAAAAAACAGAGTTGAAAGATAAATTTCGTGGTTTATGCTGACAGCCTGTAATGGTTATATACGACAGATACATTTTCCAGAATGTAATTGCCCATAATTAAGGGTGCATGTGGCACACGATTGCGTATTATACGCGAATAAATAAGTCTTATGTACATTGATCAATCGGAAGGGGTGCTAATTGGGATTGTTCACTAGCCAATATATAAGCAAATATCGCCGTGGGCGCTTATTACAGCAGGGCGCTTATTACGTCGAATACGGTATAACTGGTTTCTTTGATTTATAACCCATAATGTGCTCATATAAAAAGAAATAATAATTTTATTTGTTTTTCAACACCAACACTCAGCTATATGACAGCTGTCTACAAATAAACACGTATTGACTAGAAAATCCTGTGATTGACATCATGATCGATCCTCACAGGAATACAATGACATGCATTAATCAAGTCAGAAAGTCTGACCACCCGATATTTTGATGCCGTTAGATTCCTGATAAGCTGATAAGCAAGTAGACCAATATTGGCAATTCTAACCCGGATCTTCACGGGTGAAACAATGGCGTGGAAAGACTTTGGGATATTGACAGTGAAGGATAGGCGCTAAATAAACGCATCCTGAATCAATATCATTATCAACAATACCAGATGTTAAAAAAACGGGCTTACGCTAAGCATATTCTAGAGCATGATGAAAGTCCCTAAATCGCAAAATAACATGTGACCATATGGCATAGTGTAAGCTAGGTCCCCTCGGCACCTCTTGCAAATAATACGACATTCATTATGGCAATTATTTAACAACTGTAAGTTACATTCTCAAGATAAACAATCGTAAACATATCAAAGTTGTTCGTGCGGAAAAAATCCATTTAGATCAAACTTTCTCACCATTGATACCTCTCGCTGAAAATCTCCAAATGCTCTTCCTGTGTACACATAGTTTGAAACGTCAGCCGGTGTTGATTTCTTTCGATTTCCATTACATAACCACATCTAGTTACAACATATTTTTGTGATTTTACAATTAATTTGTATTACATGTACGCTACTAAAATTATGCACAACTATACAATTGTCACATTGCTTAATAATGGTACATTAGGAGCATGGAGGAAATAATAACACTTCGTTTGAGATTTCTTTCGAAACGTATTCCATGGGCAATACTTTTAGTCTTCACCGTTCACCAAAATGATGACGTTTTGCGCAAGTGCTGTCGTGGACGCGAAATTCTTCCTATCTCGTGTGACAGATGATTACATGAAATCATAACGATGTTTGCAGCTGTCGCATAACAGGTATTTCCCGGTAGTAACTCGGATGCAATATTTACCCTTAATGTGTTACCAGCATGTTATACAGCCGGATATCCCTTTGTAAGTGTACATTAGAATGACGTGAGTCCAAGTTGATAGACCTCCATTAGTTACGTTCTGTAGCAGACGAAATTTGCGTCTTTGCACAATTTCATATTTGACACTGCAAGTCGCATAACTTGAAAAGGATATAGCCTAATGAACACGCGAATGCTATTCCACACACAAACTCTTTTCCTCACCAATGTATGTCTAATTATTTCGAAACATATTTGGAAACAGTCCGAAACGATACGTGCATCATTTATTCTTAGACAGAACAGGATGTAGGCCTACACAGGACAGGCATCGACTTGATCAAGAGGTCGTTATCATAAAAAAAATGTTTGGATCTTTATTTTATCATTGTTCCATTCTTAAATTCAATAAATTGTAGGCAATTGAAATATACAGAGACTTCTTGATTCTTCCTAAATGTATACAACCGTAATTCTTGGACAAGGCATGTTTGATAAAATTATGCATGCAGTTGGCCATTTAACATCAGGGCCCTGTGCCATAAAGCAATCTTAACATAAAGGTGATTGAAACTCCAAACAGTGAAACTCATTAATTCGGGAAAATATTTGAGTAGTATAGGTAATGGTGATGGTGATGACTGTATTTAGTTGGTTTGACATCACTGATATAATATATACCCTGTGGTAATTCTCTCCATTTGATAATTTTGTCCCTGAGCATAAATGCTTTGATAGCTTTTTCGAGTTCTTCCTTTGTTGGTTTGTAATTCTCCATTATTATATACCTGGTACTTATGTAAGCGTTCGTTTAAATGTGATCCAACAATAGGAAGCAACCTATTTTTAATCTCCAACAAGTTCTTTGGTTTTGGCACAGAATAATTGACGCACTTGTTGTCTCCCCTGTTCTATGAACTTTTTTTTCTCGTCTTTGCTAATACCACTGCTCTTACGAGAATTTGATCGAATCTCCTGCTTCATTGCGTTGTATTTGGTGAGTTCTGACAAAACTAAACGAAACTCCTCCTCGGATATCTTACAATCAGCCATTGCTGTTGAAATATGATCCTCAATGCTGTTCAACTTTGCTTCGGCGAGTATCCGAATATTATCATGTTTTAATGCTTTCTTTTGCAACTTACGAGAAATGAATTTTATCACTATTTGAGAAAACACATGTGTCCGGATAAACAATGTGCGTCCGTACCTCAACATAGACTTAGTCAATATTAGTGCTAGGATGGCTTTTTGGAATGGAATACTGGTGAAGAAGACAAAGGCAGACTGACTCTGGTAGTCCTATACAAGCAGTTATATATACCTTTATATTCATGTTGGCGATTTGGGCATGTTTTTAATTAAAACCACTTTCTCTTTATTGGTCCTGTTAATTGGTCTTGTTATCTGCGAAATGCAAGTCTGACGCCTGCACAAAGCAATAACATTTAGATATACATATTGGCATGAACTGGGACTGGTGCTGAATACCATGCTATGAGCATGTCTAGATAAATCCCAGGGCAAAAGTTGCCTGGACACTGACATTGACTTAGTGGATGTCAAAGTCTAGCCTTACCATGTCACTATCCTTGGATGTGTATTATGATTGTGTTTCGTTGCAGACTTTACCCTTCTGAAACAAAATGTCCGGTCCAGTAACTCTGGATTTTCCCTCAGCTGAATACACAGTTAAGTCCATCCTACTGACGTGAAGATGGGGAATATTGAGGCTCATGACTTTGCCCCAGTTAGAGCCGATGAAAGGAAAGAGCTCAACCTGAGCAAGAAGATATCTTATAAGCAGTTCTGTAAGGTAGGTCAATGGATTTTGCTACATTGCTGTACTATTTTCTGAAAATAATTATGATAATAATGAATTAATATGATCATGATACAGTCTTTGCCAAAACCTACTAAGACTACTAGCCTACTGGTCTTTTGGAGAATTTTCGGTGGATTTTAGTCTTGGTATATGGCCTGTTGTTAGGTGAGCTTACTAGGCCGATATAGAGTTTGTTAGACACTGCTTTAGACTTGTGTCTTAAGCCACAGACTTGTGATATGTTATGACTCTAATTTGGTTATATCCAATCATAATTTCTAAATATTGATCTCATTTGATAATACAGAGTGGGTGAAATTAGAATATATCATGTATTTTCAGTCTCTGACTTTAGCCACACGTCTGATGCCCAAAATGAAAATGATGCTAAGGTTAAAAAAAATAATAGTCTTGGTTCTCAGGCATCATCATTAGGTCTGCCTCACGTTTCATTTTTATTTCCATTTTCAAAATAAAATTAAAACATCCTAATACTTAACAACAATGCAATCCAGTATTGCATGCAATTACCTCCCTTTACATGTACACCGCTTTACTGTGCTTCTCGTGTTATTGTCATGGCGACAATAGGAGTTTGTATGCTTGTTTATGTAAGGAGGCCCTTTCCCAGGTTGATGGTACACAACTGTTTATTTGGTTAAATACTAGTTTGAGCAAGCGAAAAAAATAAAATAAATAAACACCACCAGCCTGCACTATATTTTCAGAAGTCATTGCCTGAGAATCAATTCTTTTATTTTTTTAAGCCTAAGAGCAATGATTGGGCTAGTAGTCTGAAAAGTTTTTGACACAGACTGTATATTTAACTAGGGTCAGTGATCAAGCCAAACCCATCATGGTATGGCTGAAGTATTACTGAAAGAGGTATAAAAATAAACTCACTGACTTACTGCACCACCTATTGTATGGTATTGTATTTATCTGAAATGTCATGTGCAGAAATCCAGCACTCAAACCGTCACCTAGCGCTGGCAGTCGATATTGATCTTAGAGATCGATAATCGTCAACTAACTATCAATCAATTATCGATATATATCGAAGAAGTAACTTTCAGCAAATGGAAAGCTCGGTGACAAAACATCATATTTCACGTCACTGGTGAGTGGTGACACATTAATGCAAGGATTATTTTGAGGACATTTAAGGTATAACAAAATCTGTTGCTTTCCATCTTTGGCAGTAGACTAAAACAAGTTGCTTAGGTAACTTGAAACTGTATTTCATCACAATAGTTCATGTAAGATATTATCGATGACACAATTGTCATATTGATTATCGTTAATATTTCTTCTCATCGACGATAATTCCGATTATCAATCTTTTTTGCAAACCCTGCCTGTTACGACACTGATTTTCATGTTTCAGCATTTGAAAGGTGAAGCACACGAGTCCATGTTAACTGAACTGCCGTGGGGCATACGGGACTCAGTCTCCCTGTATGAGAAGATGAACATATCTTTCAACGCCATCTCCGAGCTACCACCTGAGTTACCGTTGCGTCTGCCGCATCTGTCACACATAGATCTCAGTTATAACAGACTCCAGACATTGCCAGAGAGCTTCGGACTTCTTTTCCATCTCCGAACTCTGCTACTTAGTAACAATGTTCTTCGAAGTCTTCCAGAATCTTTTGTCCATCTAGTAAAACTAGAACGTGTTGATCTGTCTCACAATCAGCTTAAGGAGCTACCTGAGGAAATGGGGGATATGGAAGTTTTATCCAAGCTAAACGTGGCCAACAACAAATTAAAACTTCTACCGTTATCCCTCGGTGCCAGTAAATCATTAACTTTGCTCATAGCCAATGGAAACAAGCTCGATTCCCCTCCCCAAGCCATTTGCAGCGAGGGGTCAAAAGAGACGTTACATTTTCTTCGGAAACTATATGCTGTTTCAATCATTGATGTGCCAAAAAGACCTTCTACTCCGCTAAATGAGTTCCCCCGAGTGCGGGGCAACCAGTTGCAGAGTTCTGTGATAAATCCCCATTCTGCCCAGGTTCAGTACATACAGGAGCAGACGGATACCCTCAATACACCCATGCGGATCAAAACTCCCCTGTTACCACCGTATGAAGCCTCACAACTAGATGCCTTCCAACTGAGAGATAGAATTATAGGTAAGCCATCCGGGAAACACTACACATGAAAATATTCCATATGATTTAGATAGATTTGTTTGATCGGCATTTCTAAGAAGTTGAAGGAAGACAAAGTACACATAATTTATGGATAACAACCTCTTTATTTTACTGTAATAGCGGTATTCGGTATTGATCCTTATACTTGCTTGACAACGGTTCATACCGAAACCTCGCCATTACAGTAAAATAAAGACGTTTTTATCCATATATGTCTACTTTGATTTAGATAGAGAATAAACAGTTTTGGCTCCGGGTTAGCTCACCCCTTCACACACTAGTGTATAGGAAATACAGTTACCCCTTCTTGTATCAGGTTTTACAAAAGTCCAACACCCAACCAGTCTACTTTCTTGTTACAAAGATATTTTGGAGCGATGCAGGAGGAAGGAAAAAGATCATTGCATTCCAAATAATCATCATGCATATCTCACAGCTGGAAGAAAATGTTGCTGTGCAGACAAATATGGATAACTTGTATTTTGCAATGAAAAGAGAGATTATTGAGTATTTGATGCCAAGATGTTTACATTTGTAAAGTTTTGGCTGCATGCCCTGGCTCTGAAGACAATTTGGCATCTGGTAGTTGATAACACCTGCAAATTTGAAATGTTTTCTCCTCAAAAGGAAACCAATTTTTAACCTGATACAAGTTAGGTTAAATGTGCACCTTAACTTGTTTATGTTATTTTGTGGAATTTTGATCATCGATAAGGTGTCGATGACACCTGACAGGTGTTTTTTAAATAGGATATTGATATATGCATACTCAATGTTTTTAAGAGGATGGTCAGTTAAAGAAATGATTGGGCACCAGCACCATACCAGTGGTTAAGGGTTCCACAAACATGGTAAATGTGGGGGACCTGCATCACTTTAGATTCTCCTTCCACATTAAAGGGGAATAGGTTTGATTCAAGTCATTAAGACATTTGGTCTTTTAAGTCCACTAGCCCGAACATAGCTCCTTATATCATTTGGGGCGGTCGGGTAGCCTGGTGGTTAAAGGTTTGCTTGTCACGCCGAAGACCCGGGTTCGATACCTGACATGGGTACAATGTGTGAAGCCCATTTCTGGTGTCCCCCACCGTGATATTGCTGGAATATTGCTAAAAGTGGCGTAAAACCAAACTCACTCACTCACTTAATATCATATAAGTAGATTTCAGTGTTATATGCAGTGTTTGAAATATAAATTGCCAGGCTGCCATTAGGACCCACAGACTTTAGAAGCTGCAGACCCTGACTAAATTCTTAATTCCGTATTTCCGGGTAATTCAATATTTGAATCAAAGTTTAATGAAGCCTAATTTAAAATATTGAATTGAAATGAGACATTTTTATTATTTGATACATTATGTATGAGTTGTGAGTGAGAAATGCTTGACATTTTGACAACCAATGTCAAAGGGCACCTTTGAATAACTTCGAAATGCTCCCTGATCGGGCTACACAGAAAGGAGCTTGCCTTATAGACTTGTTACATGATATATTGACAGGAAGTGACTACACTACCTATAGTTGCTAAGTAAGTAGATGATAATGGGAAATTTCGAAATTTCTACTAGTGAGTGAGTGAGTGAGTATGGTTTTACGCCGCTTTTAGCAATATTCCAGCAATATCACGGCTGGGGACACCAGAAATGGGCTTCACACACTGTACCCATGTCGGGAATCGAACCCGGGTCTTCGGCGTGACGAGCGAACGCTTTAACCACAAGGCTACCCGTCCGCCCCTTCTACTAGTCCTCATGATACCCATCTTCCCGAGGCACGAGAGTTAACTGACTTTAAAAGTACAGTTTCCACCCTTGCCGAACTAGGTTGGAATTACTGGGCTCGATCATTGCGCCACCAGTGGCTATTATCAGTTATGTCCCCCTCTAAGCCTCTCTTATGGACCAATCAGATTCCACCCCTCGTATCACTTGCGTTTGCTTCACACAAAATGGTGGCGCCCAGACAGGACGATCTGATCGATAATCAAGATCTATATTGTGATAAAACGGGTCTTACATCGCGAAATTCATCAAATCATGTGAGCATCTTGATTAAAAACATGAAAAGATTTGGAAAATATCTGCTAACAACAAGTTGGCGGTGCACATGCTTTGCAAATCCTGCAATCCACCGAACTCTTCACGACACTTTACGAACCGGATTTCGATTTCTGTGCGCGATTTTGATTGGACTATGCATAGACTCGTTAGTCCAGCCAAAATGAAACTCCATAATACTAGCCTAGTTCGGCAAGGGTGGAAACTGGACTTTTATAGTCAGTTAACTCTCTAGCCTTGGGAAGATGTATGATACCCTACTGGGCACTTTGGCACTTAGAACGAGTGCCAGTTTCAAACGTTGATCTGTTCCCTGTTATCTTGTTTCAGGTATCATCTATGGTGCTGCAATAGGCGATGCTATCGGCGTGGCAACCAGATGGATGTCCCCGGATGAGTGTGAGTTCTACTACAGCCAAGACAGCATCAGCTACACAGACATTGTCCATGATGAACATCGCGTTCGGTGGAGGAAGGGGGACTGGACAGGCAACTTTGATGTTTTTGTAAGCCGCCATTGATCATCTGTCTGTGAGGGCCAATTCTTGACTCACTGATTCACTTTGACTTATTTTTAGCTCACCTTAACATTAACCAGTAAGAGTTTTCATATTTAGAACAGTTTCTGTCTATCTGTTAAGGCGGTCTTTCTGGCATGGCTTCCCTTGGACATGCTAGAAACCTTGATTGATCAATTCCGGGTTTTGTCACAATTATGTTTCTCGGTTTGTCAGCACCATACCCATACTTGTAAGTTTCACCAAAGTGGTCAATTTCTGAGAACTGCACCACTTCGCGCTTTCCTCCCACATTAGGCTGACACGCCATGATATAATTGGAATACTGTTCAGTGGAGTTAAACCCGACTCACTCATTCACTTTCTGTCACGATAGACTGACTGTTACGGTCAGGGTCACTTGGAATATGAAAAGCTTATGACTGCAATAATTTGAGAATTTATCACAGGATAAGCACCAAAGTAGGTATACATGGCCTCTTAGAAGAGGTCATCAGTTGCCTATGCACTTTCATGGAGCAATTTTGTTTATAAGGTTTGGAAAATGAGCAAATTTTTGAATGCTTGTATACAACATATACTGAAACATAAGAACATATGTGATTGCAGGGTATTACTGGTACACAGATAAAACATGATACAAACCTTTAAAAAATCATCCATGTCAGAATGATTATATCTGATTGGTCCATGTGATCTTGATAAAATACTATGTATCCCACCTTGGAATGAATAAAACTCTCAGGGGGAGAGTAAATCCCTTTTACCCCGCTGATAAATCCCTGATGTTGCAGGCTTAATTAATAACTGCTGAAGTTGCCTTCCTAAAAATGCTGGAATATATTCCTTGTTCTTGCTTTGACCTGGCCAGTTCCCCTTCTAAATGTAGCGGCCATAAAATTTCCGAGTCCCGTGATGGGATTTGAACCACAGACCTTCTGATCAGAGGTCGGACGCCTTGTCCACATGACCAAAGAGGTTAACCCTGTCAGCAAGCTGACAAGGTAAGGATGTCATCTGTAAGATGACTCCATGCCCTGCTACATACTCCCCCGTCAACAGAAGGCACGCCCCAGGCCGCACAGAAGGGTACTGAGGCTTATTTTGATCAAATTTAATATGAACGTGCTCAGCCCCACGCTGGGCGCCAATGTAGCGGCCATAAAATTTCCGAGTCCCGTGATGGGATTCGAACCACAGACCTTCTGATCAGAGGTCGGATGCCTTGTCCACATGACCAAAGAGGTTAACCCCGTCAGCAAGCTGACAAGGTAAGGATGTCATCTGTGGGATGACTCCACGCCCTGCTACATAAACATTGCATAACAAACATTCTAAACAACTTCAATACATGAAGATAGACAACACTACATATAAAAGAACATGTTTTAGCATTCGGTGCTGTTTGCAGATGCTGGTGATGGAGTCTGTGTTGTCCTGGGGTGGAGTTGTGGATGAGCTGGACTTTGCCAAAAAGCTGCTGGAGTGGTCCAAAATAGGCTTCCCTGAGCTCGGGGACTCTGAGGGGGTGGTCCTCAGTGAAACTGTCCAGAAGGTAGGCTCATTTTCGAATGTCCCATTTTCAAAGGGGTACCCATTCTTGCCAACTTGACCGTGTGGGCTACTTTGCCTGTTGGATTGGTTTCACAACCTTTTTCTTGTATTTTCTAAATTCAACTTTTATTTAAAGTTTGTTTGATTTACAAACAACTAAATTATTCAAAGACAGTGAGACTGATTTTTAATTTAACGTTATTTAAGTGAATACCTTTAACCCATTATACACACAAAATTAATCCTAGATCCTGTTTGACATTGCAGTATCAGCACTATGAGTATTTGAAAGTATGGGGTATGACATAAGAGTTAAGGCAGTTATTCTGCAAACACTGTGGAGCTGGCCCTTGTTTAACGGATACATTTCATTATTTGAGAATTAATTGACAACATTATTCATCAGATCTTGAAACATAAAGGATTTGTGGAGGACCCTCATGGTACAGCAGTGAGGATACTGACTGAAGCCCTGCCGGTAGAGAATGGGTTTAACTTTAGTGACACGGACAGCCTGTTTGATGAGGATGTGTGGAGAAAGCAGCCGCCCAGACAAGCCAACCCCGATCTCCGCAGCTTCAGTACTGCCTCCGTCAGCATGTGTGATCACTTCGGTACAGACAATGGTGCTATTGTCAGGACAGCTATCCTTGGTACGTCGGTCTCCTGTGCAGACCCGTGTAAATGGGACTGCTTTAAACTTATCCACAGACCTTAGTTTTTCCTGGCCTGTTTGTCCATAGTGTAGTGTGTAGTAAACTTCACATTCTTGTTTACACCAAGCGTGTTCATGAATTCCTTCAGAAAGTTCACAACAGCAACATTGAAAAACACTATTTATGGCTACTACTCAACAATTTGTTTTCAAGATGTATTGGAATTTGGTAGTTTTTAGAGGGGCTCAACAAGTATGTTCTGTTTTTTGTAATATTATGAATTTTGACCTTGATTTTTACCTTTGGACTTCTACTGAATGCTGAAACTTCTAGTCATTACTCAGACCTGTTTTGAGATTTGGTGTGTATTTAGTTCTGGGGCTGAACACATGTTCCGTTTTTCATGATATGTTATCTGTATTTGACTTTTGTACTTTGATCATTCCCTTAAATTAGCTCAAAATGCACTCAATGTTATTAAAATCAGATCTTAGTGCTTTCTACCACGACACAAAGATCTGAGGACATCCCATTACAGGTCACATCAGAATGACTTTACATCTCTCGTTCAAACTGATGACTGCCATTCAGCTGCAGTAACTGCATCTCTCTGCTTCTCCCTTCTATGTTTAACGATTTTGATTTTGATTTGCAACACAGGGCTACTGACTGTCCCATGGCTTTTTCCTAATAGATCCCTGTCTAAATCTTCATCATACTTTATATGCTTAAGTGACAAATGCAACTTGATTTATTCCTAAGACACTTAAAGTAAATATTATCCGTACCGTCTCAATGATTCCAGCCTGATAAGAGATATTAGTTTCAAGTAATAGTTAATAATAAAGGAATTGGGAACACATTACAACCTGTAGTGAAGGATGACAGTAGATTTTATGACGGCCAACGATCTTGAAGGAAGATAGGGGTAAGATGGGAAATTTCAAAGTTGACGCTTTTGGATCAGTGGTGCATAATACTGCCACAATTTGTCAAACATTCATTCACTCGACAGTGCATGTTGCTTATGAGTCTCCCAATGGCAATTTGAGGCAGTCTGTCCACTCCACTTGCAAAGCCTGGCCAAGTTCAGCCAACATGTAGACGGCCTATGGCATTGATGCACACATCTTTCTTTCATGTCCCAGACGTGTTCAGTGGGGAAAGGTCTGGCTGATTGCTGGCCATGGCCTTCTATGGTTGTTGTGCTGCTGCAGGTGAACGATTTAACACACAGGCTTTGTCATCCTGAAAGACAAAATGTGGACGCACTCGCCTTACAACCAGGACGGCAAAGGGTGTCAGTATGTTGTCTCGATAGTATTGTCCAGTGACCCTTCCTTGCACAATATGGAGTGCCATCCCACACCAGAACCAATCCACCGCCAAATCTGTGATGAGGTCTCAAGTTGACATTGGCTTGACATTCATTTTGACGTCATCAGACACGACCACGCCTATCAAGAAGTGCAACGTGAATCAGGACTCACCTGAAAACATGTCATGTGACCATGACGGTTACCCTAGTTTCAGTGTTGTGTACACATTGACGTTTCTTGGCAATATCATGATTCGTACGGGGTGGCACAACATGTGTCCATCAAGCAAGGAGATGAGCTCCATGTCGACAAATTTCTAATCGTCAGATCCGTAAATAGTATTCCAGTAGCCTGATGAAAGTTGGCAGCAGTTTGATTTGCTGGTTGAGATCGATTTTGTAGAGCCTGGTTTCGGCTCCTGTGCTTGTCATTGACCTGGGATGTCTAAACATGGTATCAGTTTTTACTGTTTGAAATGTTTATATTATTGAAGCAAGAGATAGATGAGGATTTTGACGGAATCAGTCGTACAACATGAAAATGTGACACAGTGTTTTTTCAAATAATTTTTGTATTAATTTGTACATTACTCAGGGACTGGTAATTATCCCCCGCCCAATAAAGTTGGCGGGGGATATAGAAACGGGCTCAGTCCATCCGTCCGTCACGTTTCATTTCTTGAGCATAAGTCATAAACCGTTCAATATTTTTTCATCAAGATTTGCAGGTCAGTCAGGTACATGCTGAACTGGTGCCTTTTGCTATTTAGAAATCTTTAGAAATTTTTATTTTTTACGTTTCAATGGCAACTAAATGGACTTAGGTTCCAAACTCTTCGTTTTTATAATTTCCATGACAAGTTCCACCTCGGTTAAAAAAGGTTAGGGTTAGTTTAGATTTAATTATGTCATAAATTCTGCAACAGGGGCGGGGGATATAGCCACGTTAGTGGCAAACTCTTGTTTATTATTGTGAGGAGGAGGGGGAGGGGGTGTCATGGAAAAGGTAACATGTATTGGGGGGGGGGGGGGGGGCAATGAAAAAGTGTAACATAAAATGCAGCGTTAGAAATTGGCACTAGTCCTGTAGTCTTTGCACTGTCCAATAGTTAAGGTATCACAAGGACTAGTAGAAATTTGCCATTTTTAAGGGTTTTGCTATATGTTATCATATTAAAGACTAGTGGACTGAAAATGTTAGTTTCTACCGCTGAAATAGTTGAGTGGTCTGCAGAATGTAATAAATTACCAGTGACAGTCAGCCTTGATTCTGCCTAGGTGTCCCTTTCTTCCACAATCTGGGAGAGGTGAAGGAGAATGCTGTGAGAATCTGCCGAGCAACACATGCAGACAGTCGGTGTGTGGCCAGCTGTGTTGTCATCTCTGTCGTCATGGCGATGCTGTTACAGGTAGGTCTTGTTACAAGAAATCTTCCCTGTGGGGATTCCAGGTTAGAATAGGTGCCCAACAACCTATGCTGGCAGTAAGAGGGGATCAAATGGATAAGGGTGGTCCGGCACTCCGACTTGGTTGATTGTGTGTCATCCTGTCTTGAAGATGTGGATTGTTGCTCATATCAATCACGGAATTGTTTGGTTCAGACTTGGTGGTTTACAGACCATGATATACCTGGAATACTGCTGAATGCTGCATTAAACAACAAACAATTAAAACAAGAAGCGTTTGTTACATGTAGGTCATGTTACAGGTAGGTCATGTTACAGGCAGGTCTTGTTACAGGTAGGTCATGTTACAGGTAGGTCTTGTTACAGGTAGGTCATGTTACAGGCAGGTCATGTTACAGGTAGGTCATGTTACAGGCAGGTCATGTTACAGGCAGGTCTTGTTACAGGCAGGTCATGTTACAGGTAGGTCTTGTTACAGGTAGGTCTTGTTACAGGTAGGTCATGTTACAGGTAGGTCATGTTACAGGTAGGTCATGTTACAGGCAGGTCATGTTACAGGCAGGTCTTGTTACAGGTAGGTCATGTTACAGGTAGGTCATGTTACAGGTAGGTCTTGTTACAGGCAGGTCATGTTACAGGCAGGTCTTGTTACAGGTAGGTCATGTTACAGGTAGGTCATGTTACAGGCAGGTCATGTTACAGGCAGGTCATGTTACAGGTAGCCCTTGTTACAGGTAGCCCTTGTTACAGGCAGGGATTGTTACAGGTAGGCCTTGTTACAGGTAGCCCTTGTTACAGGTAGGTCATGTTACAGGTAGGTCATGTTACAGGCAGGTCTTGTTACAGGTAGGTCATGTTACAGGTAGGTCATGTTACAGGTAGGTCTTGTTACAGGTAGGTCATGTTACAGGTAGGTCTTGTTACAGGTAGGTCATGTTACAGGTAGGTCATGTTACAGGCAGGTCTTGTTACAGGTAGGTCATGTTACAGGTAGGTCTTGTTACAGGTAGGTCATGTTACAGGCAGGTCTTGTTACAGGCAGGTCATGTTACAGGTAGGTCATGTTACAGGTAGGTCATGTTACAGGCAGGTCTTGTTACAGGTAGGTCATGTTACAGGTAGGTCATGTTACAGGTATGTCTTGTTACAGGTAGGTCATGTTACAGGTAGGTCATGTTACAGGTAGGTCATGTTACAGGTAGGTCTTGTTACAGGTAGGTCATGTTACAGGTAGGTCATGTTACAGGTAGGTCTTGTTACAGGTAGGCCTTGTTACAGGTAGCCCTTGTTACAGGTAGCCCTTGTTACAGGCAGGGATTGTTACAGGTAGGCCTTGTTACAGGTAGGTCTTGTTTCAGGTAGGTCATGTTACAGGTAGGCCTTGTAACAAGAATTACTTGTATGTCTTATCTAAGGTATGAGAACTATATGCAGAGGAAGTTTAGCTGATCGGAATGTACACTGAAATACGTCTTTTGTCAAGGTGAGATGGGGAATGAATTTTATTATCCTGTTGCCTTGAAATTCAGGGGAGACAACTTGAGCCAGAGGACATCCTGACGCAGGCGTGTGAACATGGCCTGCAGTATCTGTCAGACGATGAGCTCAGAGACGAGATGATGAAACAGATCAAAATAACAGACGTAAAAAGGTGGGAATTCATTACTTTAATATTGCACAGGTTTGCTGCATGGTTGTGGCTTGACTTTTTGTCTAGTTCATAAATGATTTGGCCACATGATGGCCTACAGTATTTGGACATAGGAATGTGCAACATAGCAGTATTAGAATTGACTGCAGTGTTGTTGTTTTTTGCCTTCATTATGCCTAAGAGTGAGATTGACCAATCAGAGAGCAGAACTACTAACCACATATTAACCCATATACTGTCCATAAAAATCCAAGTTGGTTGTTACTGACCCAATATGAAACCGTATACCGTCAGTAACAACTGTTTCGGATTTTGCAAGACCCACCTCACATATTTCACTTGAAAAACCTGGGACAGAAATTCGTTAGTCGACTCTATTTTGTGTTTTAATATCATTAATTGTAATGTGCAAAGACATTAATTTTTAAGAAAACGTGTTTGTGATTTTTTTCATAAATATTTTTGAGAAACAAAATCAACAGAGATCACTGATTTACAAATAGCAATGTCATAGAACATAATATTGTATGATGTCACAAACAAGAAATGTCACATAACAATAGAACAGATAGCAGCTGGTCGTTAGGGAAAAGTGGACTACCGGTACGATCAAGTTACTAGTTTCTGATAACATGCAGACATTTTTATGATAATTCTATCCATTTTAGCTATAACGCTTGTTTCAACATTCACATTTAGTGTATTTTATATTCCATTGTTAACATTTGTGTTTACATTAAAGTGTTGTGTCGGAAACATAAGCACTGGTCCTGTCATTTATACCGGTTGTGGGGGGCACGGTTGGCCCAGTCGTCTAAGGCGCCGCGATTCGCTGTGCAGAGTTGCGTCCCTTGGGCACGCCAGAAACCTATGATTTTTGGTTCGAATCCCGGTTTGCCCCGATTATGTTTCTAGGTTTGTCAGCACCATACCCGTGCTTGTGGGTTTCACCGAAGTGGTATACGTCTGAGACCTGCATCACTCCTGGCTTTCGTCCCACATTAAGCTGACACGCTGTGATATAACTGGAATACTGTTAAAAGCGGCGTTAAAACCAACTTACTCACTCACTCACTATACCGGTTGTGAGACTTAGTGTCAAGTGTTCATTTTGACATGACATGAGCAACAAAGATACCAGATAGTGTAAACTTTTCGAGATAATGTATTTGTTATGATGTCTTTAGTTGCTGTATAATGTGTGATATTAGGTTAGCAGAAAGATATGACCAAATGATAATAAAAAACACTGTGCACATTGTGTAAATACATGTAGTGGATTTACGTATCCCGTTTTTATGTTTACAACTCCATTAATGCAAAAAACATATTGAAGTCAGTTCTTATTAATAAATCAACAAATTAAGGGGTGGTGGGGTAGCCTAGTGGTTAAAGCGTTCGCTTGTCACTCCGAGGACCGAGTTCTATTCCCAACATGGGTAAAATGTCTGAAGCCAATTTCTGGTGTCCCCCGGCATGATATTGCTGGAATATTGCTAAAAGTGGCGTAAAACCAAACTCACTCACTCAACAAATTAACATCACAGATTACTTAGTTAATGACTAACACAAAGATAACTGTGGACAACAACATGAAATCAGTGACATCATTCAGACATCGTTCATTGGTTTTAATGTCTCTATCATTATGTCTGTGGCACTGTTTCACGGTTATCCACTGTGCTAGGTGGCCACAGCCATGCTTGGAGTTGAACTACAAGTTAAAAGCATTTTTAAATTCCTATTGATGTAGTATACCGTATTCGACGTAATAAGCACCCAGGGCGCTTTTAAAATTAGGAATAGGGGGCTCTTATTAGAATATAATTTTGGTGAAAAAAAACAGAGTTGAAAGATCGTAAATATCCTTGTTTATGCTGACAGTCTGAATGATATAAAAGAAAAGTCTATGCGTTTTATACACGACAAACATATATTTATAGAATTTAATTGCCCGTAATTAAGAGTGCATATAACACACGAGTGTATATTATACACAAATAAATAAGTCTTGTGCACATTGATCAATCGGAAGGGGTGCAAATTGGGATTGTTCACCAGCCAATATATTAGCAAATATCACTGTGGGCGCTTATTAGAGCCGGGCGCATATTACGTTGAATACGGTAATCATAAGTCAAACAACTGCAATGCATCGGTAGTTTTATATAATTTCAAACCTGCTGTGTGTTGATCAGCAGTTATTACGACAACTTCAGATTATTTAGCTTTGATTTGAGTAGCGACAGAGAGGAAAAGTCCAGACTTTGACACTGTCAGCAATACTTTATTCATTTCGATACACTGATTAATAGAAACATCAAGCCTTAAATTTATTGGTTTCCTGCTATTGAAATATTATTGCAACAGTTGACTACTATTGCAATAATACTGGAACATTGTTGAATACTATTGCAGCACTAGAAACTAACAGTTTTAATCCACTAGTTATTATGATAACATGTACCTAAACCATAAATGAGGGCAAATTTCTACTTGTCCTATGATAGTGACAACTAGCCCTAATAGTCACCACCACATTCAGTTGGTTTTTTTAGGGGCGGTCGGGTAGCCTAGTGGTTGAAGCGCCTGCTCGTCACGCCCAAGACCGGGGTTCGATTCCCCACATGGGTACAATGGGTGAAGCCCATTTCTGATGTCCCCATGTATTGCTGGAATATTGCTAAAAGTGGCATAAAACCATACTCAATCACTCAACAAATTAACATCACAGATTACTTAGTTAGTGATTAACCCAAAGATAACTGTGGACAACAACATGAAATCAGTGACATCATTCAGACATCGTTCATTGGTTTTAATGTCTCTATCATTATGTCTGTGGCACTGTTTCACGGTTATCCACTGTGCTAGGTGGCCACAGCCATGCTTGGAGTTGAACTACAAGTTAAAAGCATTTTTAAATTCCTATTGATGTAGTATACCGTATTCGACGTAATAAGCACCCAGGGCGCTTTTAAAATTAGGAATAGGGGGCTCTTATTAGAATATAATTTTGGTGAAAAAAAACAGAGTTGAAAGATCGTAAATATCCTTGTTTATGCTGACAGTCTGAATGATATAAAAGAAAAGTCTATGCGTTTTATACACGACAAACATATATTTATAGAATTTAATTGCCCGTAATTAAGAGTGCATATAACACACGAGTGTATATTATACACAAATAAATAAGTCTTGTGCACATTGATCAATCGGAAGGGGTGCAAATTGGGATTGTTCACCAGCCAATATATTAGCAAATATCACTGTGGGCGCTTATTAGAGCCGGGCGCATATTACGTTGAATACGGTAATCATAAGTCAAACAACTGCAATGCATCGGTAGTTTTATATAATTTCAAACCTGCTGTGTGTTGATCAGCAGTTATTACGACAACTTCAGATTATTTAGCTTTGATTTGAGTAGCGACAGAGAGGAAAAGTCCAGACTTTGACACTGTCAGCAATACTTTATTCATTTCGATACACTGATTAATAGAAACATCAAGCCTTAAATTTATTGGTTTCCTGCTATTGAAATATTATTGCAACAGTTGACTACTATTGCAATAATACTGGAACATTGTTGAATACTATTGCAGCACTAGAAACTAACAGTTTTAATCCACTAGTTATTATGATAACATGTACCTAAACCATAAATGAGGGCAAATTTCTACTTGTCCTATGATAGTGACAACTAGCCCTAATAGTCACCACCACATTCAGTTGGTTTTTTTAGGGGCGGTCGGGTAGCCTAGTGGTTGAAGCGCCTGCTCGTCACGCCCAAGACCGGGGTTCGATTCCCCACATGGGTACAATGGGTGAAGCCCATTTCTGATGTCCCCATGTATTGCTGGAATATTGCTAAAAGTGGCATAAAACCATACTCAATCACTCAACAAATTAACATCACAGATTACTTAGTTAGTGATTAACCCAAAGATAACTGTGGACAACAACATGAAATCAGTGACATCATTCAGACATCGTTCATTGGTTTTAATGTCTCTATCATTATGTCTGTGGCACTGTTTCACGGTTATCCACTGTGCTAGGTGGCCACAGCCATGCTTGGAGTTGAACTACAAGTTAAAAGCATTTTTAAATTCCTATTGATGTAGTATACCGTATTCGACGTAATAAGCACCCAGGGCGCTTTTAAAATTAGGAATAGGGGGCTCTTATTAGAATATAATTTTGGTGAAAAAAAACAGAGTTGAAAGATCGTAAATATCCTTGTTTATGCTGACAGTCTGAATGATATAAAAGAAAAGTCTATGCGTTTTATACACGACAAACATATATTTATAGAATTTAATTGCCCGTAATTAAGAGTGCATATAACACACGAGTGTATATTATACACAAATAAATAAGTCTTGTGCACATTGATCAATCGGAAGGGGTGCAAATTGGGATTGTTCACCAGCCAATATATTAGCAAATATCACTGTGGGCGCTTATTAGAGCTGGGCGCATATTACGTTGAATACGGTAATCATAAGTCAAACAACTGCAATGCATCGGTAGTTTTATATAATTTCAAACCTGCTGTGTGTTGATCAGCAGTTATTACGACAACTTCAGATTATTTAGCTTTGATTTGAGTAGCGACAGAGAGGAAAAGTCCAGACTTTGACACTGTCAGCAATACTTTATTCATTTCGATACACTGATTAATAGAAACATCAAGCCTTAAATTTATTGGTTTCCTGCTATTGAAATATTATTGCAACAGTTGACTACTATTGCAATAATACTGGAACATTGTTGAATACTATTGCAGCACTAGAAACTAACAGTTTTAATCCACTAGTTATTATGATAACATGTACCTAAACCATAAATGAGGGCAAATTTCTACTTGTCCTATGATAGTGACAACTAGCCCTAATAGTCACCACCACATTCAGTTGGTTTTTTTAGGGGCGGTCGGGTAGCCTAGTGGTTGAAGCGCCTGCTCGTCACGCCCAAGACCGGGGTTCGATTCCCCA